ATACTGGACACGCTCTAAATCATGGCCCAGCATCTGCATGCCCTTCAAACGACATGAAGGTCAGACAGTTTTTAAAAAATTACAAAATCGGTAATTTTCACGCAAAAACAAATTTATTGACGGATTCGGGCTTACAATGAAATGGCGTTTGTTACAATTGAGTGTGGAAAATCCCATCAGTCATGTAATGACTGTTTTTGATGATGCATTGCTGGAGGCGATCTTGAAAGTTCACGTAGATTCTCTCCAACATCGTTCGCTCAACTTGATCGACTTCCACGCGAATTGCCTCCTTCAACTCGTCCAGAGTTCGGGGCTTGTGGTCGTATACATGAGCCTTCAGGTATACACATAAGAAAAAATCGCAGATGGAAAAATCTGGGGACCGAGAATGCCAATGTACATCACCAAACCTGGAAATAAGGCAACAACAAAGAGAGGGCGAATAACGTTCATCATTGCTCTGGCTGTGTAGGCGATCGCGCCATCCTATTGGAACCACACTCGTCGGAATGGAACACGTCGTCGTCGTATTTCAGGTGACAAGAAGTTTGTGATCATTTCGACATAGCGCTCCGGGTTCACGGTAACAGCATTGCCATTACCGTCTTTGAAGGAGTAAGGGCCGATAATGCAAGTTTGCGATACACCGCTGCACACCACTTTTGGGGTGTGCAGCGGTCATTTATGTAACGGTCGCGGATTTTCATTAGCCCAATAACTGCAATTCTCCTGGTTAACCATGCTATTAAGATGAAAGTGAGCTTCATGACACATAAACAAAATGAGGTTCTCATTTTGTTCGATAAGTTCCATATGCAAAATACGCCTTACCGAACGATAACTGAGACAAAGTTCAGCAGCATGTTGCCGAGCAGATCGAACCGGACTGCGAAGGAAGGCTTGTCGAACGCGTTCCACATTTTCAGGAGTTCGAACCGTTCCTGGAGCTCCTGGTGGTCTTTTGTTGATCAATACACGACTTGTGTAAAATGATTGAACTCAACGAAGGATGGTGTTTCGAAAGGAACAGCTCGATTCCGATGAATATTGAAGGGGTGACTCACGCTGTACAGTCGTGAATGTCGGACAAAACTGTCCACTGCTCCATAATGTCTACTAGTAGAAATGCTAGGAACGCCCGAGTCGCACGGCATTCTTTCCACCACTCTCGCCCGAACAGGCGGAGAATGCCAATCATTTCAAAAAAATCCGTCCTTTGTGCCGCACCCTGTACTAATCTTAACTACTACCACTAATGCTAGACAATTAAGATAAATCCTCCCACACTCCCTTTAACCCCCCAACAACAATTCTCTATAACGTCTTTCGGAAGTGAGCAGGAGTCTCTGAAACGCCAAAAGCGAGGTTTAGTCGATTTTTGGTTTTTCTGTTGAACCGATTTCCAGAAGCTATAAAGTTTTTTCGTCTTTGAGTCAATTTTCCGTAAGAATCCGGGCGGCACTTTCCAAGTTATAGAGGTACCACGGATCAGCGAACAGACAAATATGTCCGCAGACAGATAGACATAACTTCTAAATACAGGGTGCGGCAGAGAGGATGGACGGTTTTAAAAAAATCATAAAATAGTTAATTTTTACTCGAAAACAAATTTATTGATGGAATCAGGTTCACAAGGAAATAGCATTTGAGACAGTCAAGTGTGGAAAATCACATCAGGCATGTGGTGGCCGAAATCGTTGATGCAGTGCTGGAAGCGTTCTTGGAAGTTCGCGTAGACTCTCTCCAACATCGCTCTCTCAACTTGGGCGACTTCCACGCGAATTTCGCCCTTCAATTCGTCCAGAGTTCGGGGCTTGTTCGCGTATACTCTAGCCTTGAGGTGTCCCCATAAGAAAAAATCGCATATGGATAAATCTGGGGACCGAGGAGGCCATTGAACATCTCCAAACCTGGAAATAAAGCGACCAGGGAAGAGAGGGCGAATAACCTCCATGGATGCTCGGGCTGTGTGGGCAGTCGCCCCATCCTGCTTGAACCAAACACGTGTGATTGGAACACGTCGCCGTCGTAATTATGGAAGAAAGAAGTTGGTGATCATGTCGACGTAGCGCTCTGAGTTCACGGTAACATCACGACCATTACCGTCTTCGAATAAGTAAGGGCCAATGACGCAAGTTTGCGATACAGCGCACCAAACCGTTACTTTTGGGCTGTGCAGCAGTCTTTCGTGTAACTGTTGCGGATTTTCATAAGCCCAATAACGACAATTCTGCTGGTTAACCATGCTGTTTAGGTGAAAGTGGGCTTCGTCACTCATAGGCGAAAACGCGGTGCTCCACCGTCCAAGGCTCCATAACGACAACTGGTAAAATAATGCTAGGATCTCACGAGTCAAACGGCACCCTCCTTACCTCTCTCGTAGACAGAGGGGGAGAGTACTATCCCTCCCAGAAACGTCCGTCCTCTCTGCCGCACCCTGTATTTCTTAGTTTGGGAATTACAATACTTTCTCGCCAGTTGGTGTAGAAAATAATATCGATCTTATAGCATGGCCGATCGGAATTCTTATGATTTTTTTTCATAAATTACAGCAGCATCCAAAAATTTTATCCACTGGGGTGACTACTTCCCTTTACACAAACTAAAAAAAATATTGGTGACAAGTATCATCACCAATATTAAATAATTGCAGTGTTAAGATGGAGGCTTAATAAACTTTGTATTTAAAAATAGAATAGAATAGAATAAAGATAATGTTATTTTTTGCAAATATGAACGTTCACTGGTTTCTATACAGAGGAGTTAAATTAGGTGGAATTACAAGACATGGAGGTAACATTTTCGACACTTTTCTGTTGGTACGGCACTGAAAAACTACAACAAATCCTCAACCAATAAACTAATTTGAGAAAATGTATACAGGCACTGAGGGCATTCTATTAAAAAAAATTACAAACATGCATTGGATTGGATATTTTGAATAACTGAAACGAAAACCTTATTTTATTCAACCCTGCTGAGGTGTGGAGAGTGATATTACAATAGAGGCGCCATTGATGATAGAGAAATGACCTCTGTTGACGATGTGAAATATTTCCTTAAGAACTCAGCGTGACTACACTTATTTTAAAAGTTCCTAAGCTCTGATTTATGGTATATCCTTAATAATATGTAATACTTCAAGAAATACAATAATTACAGTTATTTTCCGATGAACATCCAACAGAATGCAGATAAATTCACAATAAATACTATTTTTTCAGTTTCCATTATCCTCAAAATACAAATGTCAGATTGAGTAATCAACAACGAAACACCTATTCTAATCGTGTCACGCGCCCTCAAACGTTAACGTTCCTCGCTTCGGAGAATTGCTTGGGATCTTCTGGTTGTTTTTTTTATACCGAAGCAGCCTCGCAGGCAGAAGCCCAAATGCCGGGACACTGCTGATGATCCCTAAAGAAATTTTGTTAATACGACTTTTGAACTGCCTAAGGTTAGTAGAACTGGGAAAAGCTTCCTCTTGTAGATTGCACCACAATCTCGACACCCTCGGGGCAAAGGAGCGGTCGTATCGGCCAGTTCTTGATGTACAAAGTTCGACACGGTGCGGATGGGACGCCAAAGTCAGGCGGGTCTAGACAAGAGCTAGATCGCCGACGGCTCGCCGATGCGAAAGGGTCCCGAGACTGTTTGTTAGAGAAGAGTCATCGATCAGTCGAACCGCCCTCCTCTGGACAGCATCAAGCATAAATAATGCAGCAGCACCCCAAACGTGCGAGCAATACTCGAGGCTAGGCCTTATCTGGGCCTTGTATAGAGTGATAAGGTCATGCGGAGAAAAGTAATTCTTAGCCCTAAACAAATAGCCTAGCTTTTTCCCAGCCGCTGCCGCTATTGACGAGATGTGTTCGTGCCAGATCAGGTTCTCGGTGATCTAGACTCCGACCAGCCGAAATGAATGGCTCTTTGGCAAAACTCGGCCATCCCTCGAAACAGGATGAGCGCCAGGACGCATTTTGTTCGTCAAAGTACAGTACTCTGAATTCCTGCAGCGAAGCTGTGTATTGGGTTGATCGTGCAGGAAAGGAGGTCGTTGATATGTAAGAGAAGCAGTGTTGGAGCCAAGACCGGTCCCTGGGGAACACCCGCATTGACGTTGTGGGATGAAGAGGAGAATCCGTCAATTACCACGGATATCTTGCGGCCAGAGATAAAGTCAGTCACTTATCAGCAAAACTTCTCTGGGAAGCCATGGGATGGAAGTTTGCTTAAGGGGGCAGCGACCACAGCTGATCGAACGCTTTCATGATGTCAACGACATGAGCCTCACCATAACACTGTATGAGTTTACTATACTGCCTCGCTATTTATGCGCCACTCCATCACCTTACTTAGTTCCATAAGTTCTATCAGTTGGGCGCGATTTTATTACCCTGAGTGCAATTTTGACCAATCAGAAGCCGATTTTTAAGTCATCTATTGAATTTAGTCGATTTCTTCAAACTAGCGAACAATTATAAGGATGGTGCAAAATAGGCCCCTGCTTCTAATATTAAATCAAGAACTACTTTATATATCACCTGGCTTAGCTACGAAAATCTATTTTTTCATTTGACCCGGGTGCAAAACTTGCAACCCGGAAGCAAGTTCTACCAATAGAAAAAGAAAAGGTCGCAACTTAGATCAACCAAAAAGAAGGATTTGCACCCTGCTCGAAACATGGATGAAACCTGATATAATATAATATCTGACAGCAGTTACTGAGCTTTTTGTCAAAAATAACAGTATCACAACTTACCTGATAGGGATAATTTTGAAAAAAAAGGATATATTTTTAACAGTCCATCAACATGTCCAATAATGTTAGCTACAAAAACCTATTTTGCTCTTTATAAGTTTGTGTCAGATCAAGTCATTCTAGCTTAATGCTAAGATTACAAAGAATACGAACCATAACATAGAGACTCAATAATAAAATGTGAGTCAACGCGGGTTCCATACAAAACTGAAGCAGCTATGGAAAGTAAACCTACCTGAAATCTCAAATCTTCAACAGGCGGTTCCGCGTAAGGAACGCCCATGAATCCAGAAAACTTCCTTCCACCCTTGGTTCTCATGTACAACCCTTGTAGCATCCCATCACTGATCGCCACCTGTGGCCCCTCACTCGCGGATACTGAGGATAAGAACACCCCCAAGAGTAACCTCAAAATCAACATATCGCTGGCCACCGGCGATTTCACAGACCAGCGCGAAACTAGTCGCAGGTAAATCAAAGGTTATTATTTTATACGCGCTGTCAGAATATTATCACTATCATAGTGCATGAATGGTGGGACACCTTTCTAAATGCATATTCACGCCAGAAATAAAACATTCAATTTTGTAAGGTGCTTTAATTGTGTGTTTAAGCGGTTCATTGTCTGGTTAATCATTGTTCTTAGGTAGTTTTCCGGTTAAGAAAGACAAACTGGTTCCAAACATTAATTTGGTGATAAATTTGATTTCAATTTAGATTTTCTAACATTCCAAGTGAATTCTCATTTTAAATTCAACATGGTGGACGCCGTATCGTGGATGTAAACGAGTCACGAACATTTTTGGATATGTCATAATATAGATTATTGGTCGTAGACATAAGAATTTTATAAAAAGATATGCTATAGTAGCAACTTTATAACATTACTTCGTTTCCTCAGGTTACACCCATATCCGGATGTATGGGCATGTGTATCTACTTTTGTGGTTGCATATGTGCATTCATTTCGGGCCTGATAAAGCCAAAAAGCAGAAATACGTATTGCTCGGGTTACCTATCCTATTTTCTGCCTGAATCCACGTTCCCTTTTTGCGGATTTTGCCCATTATTTTCCTACTTTTTGTTATATACCTTTCTCCGCATGACCATTTTCTCTTTGTAGATCCTTTGGGCTTGAAGAACCACAGTAATTGGCTATAACTGGCCGCGTGGTTGTGGTTAGATGTCGCCTTGAAAATTCGAGACTTCTAGCCATTTTATACTACAATGTGTAGGTTGGCTCTTGTTGGGGACTTCCTGTGTCTTTTTTCCCTCTCCATCTTCGTTTCCTCAGGTTACACTCGTATCCGGAAGTATGGGCATGTATCTACCTTTGTGGTTGCATATGTGCATTCATTTCGAGCCTGATGAAGCCAACAAGCAGAAATACGTATTGCTCGGGTTACCTGTCCTATTTTCTGCTCGAATTCACTTTCCATTTTTGTGGATATTGTCCATTATTTTCCTATTATATAAATATATAGTTAATTGCCTTAGCTGTTAGGAGAAAATATCCTTGAATTTCTTTGGGTAGAAGGCAAAGTATTACATCAGCACACTCTTATAACTTAAACTCGAGCTTTCGAATGTCTATGCCCTCATCGTCTGGAGCTGGAAACAACACATAGTCCACGAATAAAAAACTGGACCGATGAGGTTCGATTAGGATGGAATTATTTTATTAATAAATAGTAAATTATAGCAATGTTTTTCAATGTTTAAAAAAATTCCTTTAAGTATTGATTCAATCAGTGTTTAAAGGAAAGAAAATTAAAAATTGAAAAAACATAGCTATGATTTGCCATTTATTAATAAAATAGTTCCGTCCTAATCGAACCCCATCGGCCCAGTTTTTTATTCGTCGTCGTTTAAGCATAATTGCCTTCTACCCAAAGAAATTCAAGGAAATTTTATATTATATATATATATATATATATAATATATATATATAGCATCTATATAATGCTTAAATTATCAAGTAAAATCGATAACACCAAAAAAGGTTGAGCAAATATTCCAAATATTGAGAAGAAGACTCTAAAGCAATGTATTTCGTACCGACAAGCAGAACATTTGTCACCGAGTGAGTCATGCGTAAAGGTGTACGGTAATTCGATCGCGAAGTGAGCATATCTTTTCAAGTTATAACGTCATGTGTACTACCTAGATTTTGAGCTAACTGAATGAGTTCGAATCCTCGAGTACCTTCTTTTGCAGTTTCAGTGATGTTGATAGTTAAGAAATCGTGTATGAATAGTTGCAAATTGTACTTACTCTTCCATAGTTGTAGTTGGAAGGACGTACAAGGATTTCTATAATTTCTTATTACTATCTTATGCGGCAAATCCTATGATTTTTTATTATATGACGGAATTTTTTTTATAGTGCGTGCATTGAACTATAAAGATTAATGCGATTATATAATTAATCTCGTGTATATTCTCAATGGTAATTGACTTCAAGATAGGTAACAGCCTACTTACTGCATTGGTATTCCAAAGGACTTATGAGAGGGTACAAAATGAGTTTAAATCTATTTTTTATTCATATACATAATAAGTACCCCAGTATCCAGGAAGTAAAACTCAATATGTCAATACATTCCTCGTTCTTCTTGTAGGTATGAAAAGTGTGAGGAAAAATAAATGGATCGAAAACAATTGTGTCCGTCGGTTTGTCCTCTTGTTTACCCGACTGCCTCAGAAGGAGGAGTATATTTTCGCGAATGGGTATAGTATGTGTCGTGGCTATAGCACAGAATTAATGGCCAGGTAAATTTAACCATATCGATAAATCGTCAACGTTTATACAATTTGGTCATTCACTATTGATGATTTCGCAAAATAGGGTGTCTGTAGAATATTTAAAAAAAAATATGTTAGGAATTCTTAAACTGCACAACGTGTCACAAATAAAATTTAATTTTTGAACATATCAAATATCATAAATCAAGTTATTACTTCGCGTGGTACTCTCCCGGTACCCTCCTTGGCATACGATTTTGACTTCAAATAAATGAATGATACTGTGATTCAAGAGTGAAGTACCAACCTGCAACACACTCGAGTATCTTTTTCTCGTATAGTCTTCTAGACTCACTTTCTTCCTCATTTGCTAACGAATAATTAGAATTTTTACTCCGAAAAACAAATTTGTTATTAACGACCACATTGTTGAAATGTGATCAAAGCGCTCCCAGCGCCTCTATACTTAAGTAATGTAATAATTTTACGATTTGATCAAATGTGCTTGACCATCTCATGAAATAGGCGCGTGTCTAGTTGATCATATCGTTAAACGATTTGTTATCATTGATCTGGTAAATAGATGATGATTTATTTCAATTTTACGATATGGCCACCACTTACATATGGTTGTGGACAAAAACTTCTATTTCACGGGCTACAGTCTCAAAGTACATAGATGAATTCAAAATCTAATTGACTTTATTGTTAGAACTTGAAATTTGATATCACACCTAAACCTTCATTCTTTTCAGTTACCATAGTCGAGTTTTTGTATTTTTTAAAAATGCTCTTGTTCCAAGTTCCAGTTAAATATTCTATTATGGCATAGATTTTAAAGATTTTCGGTATAAGATAATCAAAAAGCTTGTCCAAACAAAAACTACGAACTAATCCTCGTGTTCACGTTAATTCGAAGAGGATCATTTTTTATAGTTTTTAACTATGTGCGCCGTATAGATTAGAACTGTAATATAAAATCCGAAAATCATATGATAAAAAAGTACCCTAAGCCTCAGCATCTTTATAGTATATACAGGTTGTTTCACAACTTATCCGACAAATTCTACGCACATATGCACTGATATGAAGAAGTTGATTTTTAAAAAAATGTAATAAAAGTCCTACAGAAATTAAGTTATAAACCTGCGTTTTAATAATAAATTGAAAAATAAATATCTATATTTTGCGTTCATCGTCGAGATATTAGAAAACGCATTAATAATTTATTGTAGCAAATGTTGCACCAAACAATTGACGAAAACAAAATTCCAGGAATTTTTTTATTTTTTCATATCGATAAGAACGTGTAAATAAGGCTTAATCTGTATCGTGGGTGATCAGAATGAAGAACTGTCGATTTTTGTGAAGTTAAATAAGAAAGTATTTTGAGAGTTTATGTTTTTAGCTATTTATTAATAAAAATGACACATGTGTACACTAATGAGGAGTAGTGGACATTATTTTAGCGTACGGAGAAGCAGGGCAAAATTCACGAGCGGCTTTTCTTCTAAATCAGGTATACCGGATACGCTGGATCGGAAAGGGTGGACCAATTGCATGGCCTCCACGGTCTCCCGATCTCCAGTTCAGAATATTAAAGAATTGCGTGACCGAATCACAGTGGCTGCCGATAATTTGAGCTTTCAGGCACAGAAGGAAGGAAGTTGTATTTGAATTAGTGCGCCGAAAGTGGATTAGACGCGCCCAAGTTTGCATTGCAGTCAATGGAAACAATTTTGAACAGCTTTTATAAGTAAGTGAAGTGTTAAGCTATATTATCTTATTATCTCGATTTCTGTAGGACCTTTATTACATTTTTTTTTTGAGAAATCAATTTCTTTAGTAACAGTGCATATGTGATTAAAATTTGTCGGATAAGTTATGAAATTAATTGAATAATCATAAAAATTCACGCATTTGATGTGTATGAAAACCACTACACCCAATAGACGAGCGAAAAAGTGCTGTTTTTTGGCGCAATGGCTCGGTGTCTTTTAAATACCCGAGCACTACGAAAACTTGCCAACCACGCATTTTTTGGAAAAAAGGCTTAGAGAAAAGGTTCAGCGTATCAAAAAAGCAATTTATCGCTGACCTCAGATATCATCTAGACAATGACCTCAGATGTCATTTAGAGGTCAACTTTGTAAATTCGAATAGCGACCAACATTTTTGACAGCAGATTCGTTTCGAGCTAGAGATTCCACAAGTACACGAACACCCCGATAGATATTTTTTTTTGAAAAAAAGTTTAGAGAAAGGTTTCAGGGTATGAATTAAGCCATTTGCCGATAACCTCGAATATAATCTAGATTCTAGATAATGGCGTCAGAGATCAGTTGGAGGTAAACTTTGTCAATTGAAATAGCGACCAACATTTTTGACAGCAGAGTTGTGTCCATACGCATCACTGTAACGTCTTAAAAGTACACGAACACACATCTATGGTCGAGTGCAGTACATAACATAACATTACGTTTTGTTCTCTGAACTTTATTTCAAAAATGCCTAGTTATCGTGGATTCGGGACGTTTAAGACTTACACATTACCAATGACCACCTGACCTCATGCGTTAATATGGATTCTGATGTAAAATATCGATCTTAGACACGAATCTGTTGTCAAAAATGGTGGTTGCTGTTTAAATTAACAAAGTTCACCTCAAAATGACCTCTGAGCTCATTGTATAGGTCATATCAATCAACAAATTGCTTTTTTGAGA